GAGACAGTTTCATCAGAATCAGGTTTTGGCTTCAGTTTCTGGAACAGATTAAAGTTCTGATAAACTTTAAGGAAAAGTGTTTCCTTGAATTGTCAGTTGCTGTTTCATTCCTATATTTATCTGAAAACAACACCCTGATCTTCTCATGCTGCAGTGAAACTGAACGGTGACAGGAACAGATTAAATGTTTTCTGAGGGTGTGGAGATAAGTTCCACATTCCATTGTTGTCTTGCTGCAGAAACAGACAGAGTGCAGTCCTCTCCAAACAGGTGTCCCCCCCCCCCGTGTTAGGGGTCATTTCAATATTTCTAGAGGAAACACTCCATACAAATAATTAGGTGTTCGTTAATGAACCAGTGGACAGCAGAGAAGTGGGGCCCAGAGCATCTATGTAATGACACTGACACAGTGTTGGGGTCACAATGAAACACAGAGTCCCAGCAGTGAGTCTTAAGAGATCTCTCTAGATCTTTTTTATTTCAAACTTATTGATATGGATTATACATATATATGCACATGTATATAGTATATATCTTATTTTATTAAGCACTAAAGGTTGTCGTGACTAACTCGGCAGCTGCTTTGGCATCAGAGCTCCACTAAATGTATGAGCGCCACTATTAGATGGATCCCAGCAGGTACAAGATCCTACAGGAGACGAGACAGTTTCATCAGAATCAGGTTTTGGGTTCAGTCATTGTTTCTGGAACAGATGTTCTGATAAACAGAAGTTCTGATAAAGTTTAAGGAAGTTACACAATGTTTCATTGAATTGTCATTTGCTGTTTCATTCCTATATATACTTTGACTTTGATCTACTGTTCTGATAAAGTTTTAGGAAGTTACACAATGTTTCCTTGAAATGTCATTTGCTATTAATGAACCAGTGGACAGCAGAGAAGTGGGGCCCAGAGCATCTATGTAATGACACTGACACAGTGTTGGGGTCACAATGAAACACAGAGTCCCAGCAGTGAGTCTTAAGAGATCTCTCTAGATCTTTTTTATTTCAAACTTCGTACACACATCACATGTGTTGTCACATTATTTTTCACTTTCCAACACTCCAGATCTCCTTTCCATCGTTGTAGAGAACCAGACGGCCATCCTCCTGCATGGTCAGAAGCATCCTCTGACTGTCACGTGATGAGTGGGTATTACTGGCCCAGAGTGGTTGGTACTCTTTGTTGTAGATGACCAGGTTGTTGTCTTGTTGCAGAAGCAGACGGTAGGAGTCTTTGTTCCAGGTGTTGGAAGCCCAGAGAGGGGCCCAACCATAGACCACAAAGTTACCATCAGTCTGTCAGGGAGAAGAACAGAGTAAGATGTTGTGTAAAGGTTCCTTTAAAAATAAATACAGATATAGACATGACTTCCTCACCTGCAGGACGGCCTTGTAGATTCCATTGTTACTCATCAGGTAGTCACCAGCACGCAACTCCTGGTCAGTGCTGAGAGAGTTTCTGTTCATGGTTCTGCAGACAAAATGATTATGAAGAAAACCAGCAGGAGGCGCCGAACTTGTCGAAGGTATATTTAAACGTATTATTATACATGTGTTATACCACTTATAAACATTTTCCTTCCGAGTGTTAAATGTTCAGATAAACCTTCAGAGAACACGACTCACACGCATTTCCTATAAAGGTACATGTTAAAAAATATCTCTAGTCAATACGAACACAACTGATCAAAAATCAGAAAGAATTCCTGC